GCACACGAACCTGTTCTCACTGCTGCTGAGCAGAGCTCCCCTCAATCTCAGCTGCCTGTCACCAGCACAATGCTAATGCTCTTCTGGCTTAGAAAGAGCTGGGAGTGGGTTGGGATATTCCTGTGCTGTGTAGGAAGTGAAGGAATGTGTAGACAACAGAAGGGGGAGAACAACAATAAAGTTTGGGCGGAAGAGCACGGAGATCACAAAAAATCTGGAGAATAAAGCCACCCCGAGATAAAAGTGGGAATTCAGCACGAAGGTTTTTGGTGYCGAATGCTTTGCTGGAAAATGACAGAGAGATGAGGACAGACTGTCCTGCTGGCTGCTGGACAAACGATAAGCCATGTGTCTGGCCCCGTGAGGGACGCAGAAGGAGACATGCTAGTGCTTGTATTCCCCTGCAGCCGCCTGTCAAAAGAGATCCTCATCTGGCCGAGCAGCCTGCAGCTCCTGGGCACGGGCACAGTGAGGGGATCTCTCCTCAGTTACTCACACAGGGGCACTCTCACTCTGGGTGCCACGCAGAGCTCGCTTCCCTGGGAGCCTTTGCTCTGCCGCAAAACGGGGAAAATGCCCAAATCCWGCGTGTTAAAAACGCTGCTTTTCCTCCCTGGGCACGCAAGGAACCACACTGCACACAATCTGCCTCTTGCTCTCTCAAGCAGGATCAGGCTCCCCTCTCCTGTTGCTTGCTCAGAAGCCCTGACCCCAGGGAACGTGGCTCCGCTGTGTGTGCGTCTGGCAGGGAGCTCAGCCTGATGTAAAACAGGGATTGTCTGGCTGACCCCGGGGGTTCCGAGCTGATTTGCTTCACCCATTAGCAAAAACAATTAGGATATCATTGCACTGACCTCTCTGTCTGGGGCTGCCAGCGGAGCGGAGCTGCTGCATCCTGCTGCTCAGCACTGCTGGCTCCAGAAGGGATGAGGGAATTGAGAGCCSTCCTGCATTTCCTACCCACAATCTCTTGTTAATTTGAACTCAAAATATCCCTTGAGTGGCTGGGGAGTTAATCCAAATCAGACCAGTCTACGCACAGGGGCATCACTCAGCCTGGGAATCTCCCAATATTCAAATCCCAGGGGATTTCAATCCTTGCTGCCCCRCAGCAGCAGGTCAGGAGCGAACATTGTCTGCACAGATCATTCATTAGAAGGGTGAGAGGAGATCAGGAGCTCCACAGGGCCATCACACTTCAAGGGATATCTGGYAAAGGTGATCAGAGAATMYCAGAATGGTTTGGGCTGGAAGGGACCTTAAAYATCATCTCATTCTGACYCCTCTGCCATGGGCAGCYCCTGCTGGACCAGGTGGCYCAAATCCCTTCCAGCCTGGCATGGTGACACTCTCCACAGGGTCTGTGTACTGCATGGCACCTGTTCAGGTCATTTCATCTGGAAACCTTTTGGATACTGTGACAATAGGAAGGGGAAGAAGTGTTTTTCCYGTCTCACAGAATGCTGCAGCACTGCGAGCCTCTCTGTGTACGAGGGCTGCCTGCTCACCTTGGCCCTTTGGAGAGCTTCTTTGGGAGCTCTGATCCACATTCTTGCTCCTTGGACAATTTTACTACATGTCCAACCCCTTGCAGTATTGCCCACAAGGTCTGCCCCATTTTCAGCTGCTCCATCCAGCTCCCGCATGGGCACTTTGGGGTTTATTTTCCCCCTGAARCAGTTTGGCTGGAAGGCACCCAAACCCATCTGACTGCAGCACAAAGCCCCCTGAAATCACAACCCCCTTTCCAAAATAAATGACCTGTCCATCCAGTGGAGACAGTTTTTGACAGATGTGTCAAGCAGAAATGCTCTACCTGAGGATGCTGTGAGTCCCAGGGGAATTCTCCCCGGGCTCAGCTGGTGCTTAGCCCATGCCCCCAAGCATGAATTCCAATTTTCCCTGGATAATGCTGTTCACCTGAACAGTCACAGGGAAATTAGGCTGGGACAATTCTGTCCTTCTCTTGGCACTAAAAGCAGAATATTTGCTGGCAGCTTCCCTGCAGACAGATGCCAGCAGAGGCCAGGCACAGCTTTATTTACGCCCCAATTTTGGCCAGTTAAGGCAAAAGGCTCCCTTACCTGTCTAAAATCAGCACGTCCTAACAGCAAAAATGCAACTCATACAATATGATTAATTCTATGAATATGTTCTCTCCTTTAAACAACTGTAACTAAAACAACACTTCTGTTTCAACAAAGCTTTTTGTATTTGCATCATTATAACCCTTGACTGCCAGGCTGGCAATTCCAGAAACTTCAGGTGCAAAGCAGTTCTAAAATGTTCCTTTAGAAAGTAGTTTATTAAACAACAAATTTTTTTGTCACCAATCACCAGGCAATGTCACCGTGACTGCTGATAAAAAAAGATTAATTTAAATTTTAAAGATCACCTTCTGTTGCTATTAGGAACTGAATATTTTTCATTAGAAACTGAATATTTTTCATTAGTGCCAGAGAGTTATCAGAATTACTTTCCATTCCAAGAGGCAGGAAAAATCCTGATAATTCATTTATCACTCTCTAAGTCGAATTTATTAATAAAATCAGACACCCTTGTGGAGGCTGCTGGTCGAAATAATTGAACTAAGGTTTGATTTAGCATTTTTGCCATAGTCAGCTGAAGAGGGAAGAATCTGTATAACATCAGGACATAGGTGGGTAAATTCACTGGGGTTCGTAATCCAAGCACTTTTTCTGCACTGAGTATCTCATAAGGAAAAATTCTACAGTTACACTGGTGAAGAAGAGATGAGTTCAGGATGGTAACAGGGATGTGAATAACCTGGCCTCMCCCCTCCCCACCCCCCAGACACCCTATAATCTCCTTGGTGCACCTTCCCCTTCTTGTTCTGAATTCCCACAAAAGAAATGTTCCTTTTTAGCCATCCCCAGCTCCATACACCATATATTTTTTCCCCTATTGGCTGCAAGAGCAATGATCTCAACTAGATACTGCTGCTAAAATTACATACTGCTTTTCCTGCCTTGGTCAGCCAGCCTGTTTAAAGTTGTCACTTAATTCCCTGCCAAAACTGTTGTCATCTCTGTAGAAACCTAGCAAAATTACCCTTCACTTAATAATATAATTCCACACTTACATTTGAAAATGTAAGGAAAACCTGAGTTTCTAGGCAARCCAGACAGCTCCTTATTGCCATAAAACAGTTCACCACCCACATTGACTTTTCCCCAACCTTAACTCAGTTTTTATTCTCCAACAGAAGCCCATGAAAGAGCTCATACTGGGAATTTTGCTGCCTTGTTTATAATTTCTCAGCRTGAAAACACTGGTGAGGCAGAGCAATGTTTGCTGAACAGAGCTGATAGGATTGATCTGTTGAATTGAACAGAGCGGGGTGTGCTGATTACAGGTTGGCATCAGGTCCCTGGATGTGAAATTYTGAAATTGTCAGGTTTGCTGGGATAGCTGCACATTGAGCTCTCATCAGGGGGACCACGGTTGGTTCCTCTGTGACAGGGCAGGCTGYTCAAGGATACTGAGCTGGAAAAGGCAGCACCTTGGGCTGATGGCTTCAGCAGTTGTGGTTTTCCTTGGGGTTGGGAGCAAAGCCATGAAGGGAACACACAAAAAAACCTTTAATCCACAAGGCAAGTCCTGCCTGTGAAGGAGGGTGACCTGTGGGCAGTGACCAGCTCTGAGGGACCACTCCCCTGCTCTTCCCTAATTACAAAAGGAATTAAGAGGAAATAGAGGGAGAATTTGATCTCTACTCACATTTATGGGACAAAAGGACATCGAAAGAGTCTGCCCATCTTGTTGCTTCTTCTGTTGACAGCCTTCTGAAAAGAAAGGGAGGGACAAGTCACAGACAATCCCTGGCTGCTGACCCCCTCTGGAGCTGTTTGATGAGGMCACCGAGGAAGGCTGGAGTTCATCTCGCCTGATTTTTGACGTTCAGAGTGTAGAACTGAGCCAAGTGACCCCGGGGTCCCTCTGGAATCAGTGAGGAGACACCATGGCACCTGCAGGGACTCATCTCTGCTCATCTCACAGCCCCAGGCAGGCAGGTAAAACAGGCCAGATGAACCATAGCCACAAAGGGAACGATTTTTCCTCATTGACTCTCAGCACAAGCCCAGAGAACAAGCTCAGATGCAGACATTTACATTGTAAAAGCCAAAAGTCAGGCGAAATGAAACTCAGCCCTGCAAAAGTGTTTGTTTCTCTGGCTCGCCTTTCAGGGGAAGGACAGATCTTAGCTGAGGTACAAAGAGGGACTCGTGATCAGATGAGTCCCATTCCCACTCATCCCTGGAGGGGCTCTGGAGGGGCTGAAGCATCTCCCTCAAGCGTTGTGAGAACCATCACCCCAATTTTGTCAGTGCTGAATTTCTAAGCTGAATTTCTGATGGCAATCGGTCACCTTTTAAACCAAACCAACTGCTCAGGCTTCGATTTGTGACAGAAGATGTGTAAATGACATCCCCAAATAGGTGCAGACAAGTCCCACACCCAGTAGAGCTCATCTCAAAGATCCAGGTATTTCCCGAGGCTGCTCCCGCTGGATCAACTCCCCGTTTGTTTTCCTTGTGGAATCGGTCACAAAGGGCTTAATACAAAGTACAACAAAAGGAAGACAATAGTGGGGGGAARGGGGTGGTAGGTGGGGAGGGGGAAGGACAGGAGTGGGGTTGGCATGGGATGCTGCAGCTATACTCACTTCAAAGCCCGGTTGGGCTTGTCCGGAAGAATAGCTGTGAAATCATTATATGAGTCTGATTTGTGAGACAGGCAGCCCAGGCGAGTCCTCATCCCTCTGTTCCTGTGGTCGAGGTGGGGGAGCAGGGGTGTTAGCAGGGGAAAACCAAAGAAGAGGATSATTATAAGTCTAGCCAGCTTGGCAAAAGGCAAAGAACAAACCCAAAAAAAAAAAAAAAGAAACCTCGGTGGCTCCGTGCCAGACCCGTGTCCTCGGTTCCCTCGTGTGTGAGAGGGACCCTGAGACATCTCCAGGCAGATGTTGAGGGTGGGCACAGCACCAGAGCAGCTGAAGGCTCAGCCACAGCATTCAGCTGGCAAAAAGGCTTTGAAAGGCTGCRCTTTGGGATGGTTTCTTGGAAAGTCCTGCTCTGGTCAGGTGTGAGAGGAGAGCAATGGGCAGCAGTACAAGAAATTGGTCACCACGTTCCAGCAGCACCAGAAACAGCACAAATGCCAGAGCTGGAGGGCAGGAGGGGGCTGGAGGGAGGAGAGGGGTTGTAAAGCACCTGCAAGGTGAGGCTGTGCTGCAGAACCCTGAGTTCCCAGCCGGGATCGATCCCAAGTGGCTTCTTTAGGCTCASGATTACATAAGCAGGATCAAACTGCCTGTTTCCTGACACGCTTACCCAGGCAGAAAATGGCTTTATTGCTTTTTTCCTCTAAATTTCAACCCAGCCCCAGAGCCTTCCATCCTCTGCCAGCCCCTGGCGTCCTTGCCCAGCCCCTTCCCGGGACAGCAGCCGCAGCATCCTTCATTACATAACCCGGGATGGGCAGGGACACAGAGGGACAGGGAAAGGGAGCGTGCATGACACGGGGCTGGCATCACCTCCTCCTCTAAAACATTGGGCTTGCTGCTTCATGGGCTTGCACTGTCATCTGCCTCTCCAGCCAAGGACATCTCCTCCTATCTGAGATTCCCTGGACATCAAACTGGGCCATCCTCCCCTCCGGACCACGGGAGGAGCACTCAGCGACCCAGTCTCCACTTTTCAGCTGCTGCACCGACTTCTGAGCTGCTGAAAGCCCTTCCCCAGGCCCTGCTGCCAAACAGATGCCGAACACTTTCTGTGGCTGCACAAGTACAGCGTTTTTCCCCCTCCATCTGTAATTCTTGCACAGAACACTTCAGCACCAGTGCCTGAGCCAATCTGTAGCGCGCCTGTTTCCCCCTTCTCCTCCCGCCCTTCGGAGAGCTTCTATTATTGCACATTTTAATGTAATCTTAAAGCAAATTAAATGTTAATTAAATGCACCGAGTGTCTCCCTGGTGCAGCACAGGCAGCTCGCAGTGTTTAACAAGCACAAAAACCAGGAGCTCTTCAGTCACRGGAAATGTTGCAGCTCTCCAGCCATGGGCCGGGGGATGCTGTGCTCCACAAACTCCAGGTGAGACCCACATTCCCAGCTGGACCTGCTGCGCTCAGGAGAACACCAAGGATCCTTCTGGTACCTCTGCTGCTGCCTCCTACCCCCCACCTTCCTGCTCCCTGCTCTGTTTGCTCACGAATTTCCCAGAGAGAGGTGTGACAGGCGTTACCGCAGTGCTGCTCAGATTCCCCTCTGATGCCTGAGATCAAGGGACTGCAGCAGGGAACCAGAGCAGGCACAGGGGGCTGCGAGTTGGTTCCCCACGGAACAGCCTTCCCTCGGTGAGGACTTCCAAGGCAGGACACGGGAGGGAGAGAGAGAGGGGRAAAGAAATTGGGTTTGCAGGAGGTGGAGAGGCAAGGGAAGGGCAGGAGAGAAGAGCAGACACTGCAGTGAGCCAAAGGGCTTTTGCTGGACGAGGCAGACAGTGACAGGGTGGGCAGGGGTGAGGGGTGCACCGTGTCTTTCCAGTTACCTCCGTGGGATCAGTAAGGCAGCCATTCAGGCATCCAGCTATGGTTAACCCTTTAACTGGCTGGCTCGGAGTGCAGTCGGGGCTGTTTGCAGGAGGCAGGAGTGCAGGAAGGAGGGATTTACTGTTTCATGTCCTGGCACTCAAAAATACACCAAAGAATCCTCTTTGCCAAAGCCAAGAAGGGCCAGTTGTCCTCAACCCATTTGATCCTCGCCTCCTAGCGTGGAAAGTCAGTCGTTCAGTGGAAGACGCTGAGAGTTGAGGGCTGGTCACAGAGGACAGACAGCATTTCCTTCTAAGACCAAGACTGCAGGTAAAGTCCAGCTTCGGGTCTAAAGTGGTTTGAGTTTGGTGTCCCAGCTCACCAGGGAGCAGCAGGAGTTGGCATTATCCCACTCATCCTTCAACACCTCCGAAGGTCTCTCCTCAACGGGCAGAGCTCTGGGCTGACCTCGCTAAGAAGACCAAACTACCTCTTGTCCCTGTCCCTCCAGGTCATGGCTGGTGTTACTGGCCAGGCATCATGGAAAAGCTGGCACTGCAAACAGAATAACAGGAGGACTTCACGCGTCTGCAGGCGCCGCTCCTYTCACCACCACAGGCTCAAGCACTCACACAAAAATAACTCAGAGCAAGCCACTCCTCGCTGGGGTGGTGGGAGCTGCGGGGAGCCACCACGSAGATGCACAGCCTGGAAAGGGGGGAAGGAGGAAAGGAGAGAGGGACATTGGRGATGGCGGGGTCCCCTGAGCCTCGGCACACTGGAGAGTGACTGGTTGACAACTCTCACACCAGCAGAGAGTGAAGGTGAGACCCAGCAGGCAGGASAGCAAGGGACAGAGAGTAGGACTCTCCAGAGGGCAAAGGCAAAGATTTCTGCTTTGCCAGGGTGGGCAAGCTCCAGGYACCCTCCAGGTCACATCCTCCTGCCCACCGGGAACAAATGAGGAGGAGTCAAAGGAAGGATGAGGTGAGAGGGTGTGCAAAGAGTCAGGAACCTGTTCTGCCAGGGCCTGSGGAGACCCTGGAGCTCGGGCCGCCCAACACAACATCCCTCTTAAAACCTGATTACATTAAAAACGCACAAAGCCTCTTCCCCACTAAATTAATGGAAGCGGGATTGGGCTGCATTGCCAGTGAGTGCATTTCCTTAATCCTCACCCTGACCGGCTGCTCCGCTGTGCTCCGACTGAAATCAATCCTTGTAATTCCTTTAAGCCCCTTTAAATTTCCTCATTAACAGCCTCGCCCGCATGTGGGGCTGCAGCACATGACTTCCAAGAGTCCAGAAGCTCCTGCTCCTCTTTCCCACCGCTGCTCCGAGGTGGCAGCTGGAAGCAGAGCTGGGTGCCCTCTCCCTTGCAGCCTCCTCCAGSAGCCTGAATTTTGGGGTGCTGTTATGAAGCAGCCTTCTACTGAACCCCACTCCCACTCACTCAGCCCTCACCCACACCGCTGAGCAGCACCCAACTTCCCTGTGATCCCAAAGTCTGTCCGACTTCACGGATGCTGGGACCGACATTTCCCGTGAAGGCAATCCCACTGCTCGCCTGACATACCCACGGATRTTTCCCTCTGTTTGCAAACAAAGCSACTCAGTTTTGACTTTAAAATGTGATTTGTGGTGTCTGGCAAAGGCATTGCAATTAAGGTCCTGCTGAGGGGTTTTGCCTCCCACTCCATCCTCGATCCCACCTCCCCCTCCCATGCCAGGAACCCGGTCAAGGAGAATTGCCAGCCTCATCATGGATGTGTTTTGGGGGTTTCTCCTTGAGAGGCAGAAAGGGAGGGGTGTGATTAGGACGTTCAGGTTATCAAACCACCTGAGCAATATCAAACCACCTGAGCAAAGCTAAAGAAGCCATCCCAATAC